GACCGGATCTAGTGTTGAATGCAGTCTTCCATTCGTGATTTTCCTTTATACGTATCAAATTGTATGCACTCCTAAGGTCCAATTTAGTGAACACAGTGGCATGTTTCAGCCTGTCAAATAATTCTGTAATCAAAGGTATAGGGTATGCATTTTTGATAGTGATTTTGTTTAGACCTCTATAATCTATACACGGTCTTAAATCACCTTCTTTCTTCGATACAAAGAAGAACCCTGCTCCCGCTGGAGAAGAGGATCTCCTAATAAACCCCTTTTCTAGTGATTCCTTAATATACTCCTCCATGACACGGTTTTCTTGAACCGATAAGGGGTACACCCTGCCCTTTGGAGGTATAGTGCCAGGCAACAAGTCAATAGCGCAATCATAGGGTCTGTGGGGCGGTAATTTCTCAGCCTCCCTTTTATCGAAAACAGTCTTTAGAGATAAATACTGAGGGGGTATAACCGTAGACAAAGGAGGACTGGTAGGTACCTCAATAGAATTCAAAGGTGTGACTTCCAACGTACAAGACTCGTGGCAGGCCTCACTCCATGATTTTATTTGCCCTGTCTCCCATATATAAAGAAACCGGGAGAAGCAAGCGGTTAGGAGGCAATTTAGGAGACTTAGATATCACACCCAAGGCCAGTCCCCTATAAGGTCTTAGGTGCGAGAGTTTTCCGGGAGTAAAGGACATTCCTTTACCATATGGTCTCTCCTACTACAGTATAGGCAAAGTCCCTCCCTTCTCCTATGTAATTTCTCAGTATCAGAGAGTTTGGCAACCCCTAATTGCATAGGTTCCTCCTCAGACACTTTAACACTCTCTGGTATATTAACTCTGGGGTTAATGGGTGTAACAAAACGTCTATTCCTGTTCTTGGTATAGAGCCTGTCACGAATTCTATTATCAATATCAATGAGGTAATCGATAAGGTCCTCTAAGGCAATAGGAAGCTCCTTAGCTGCTACCTCATCCAATATCGTATCTGACAAACCTTCCATAAAGGCAGTAGTTAACCCATTGTTGGTCCAATCTACCTGCGAAGCAAGAGTGCGAAACTGAATAGCATAATCAGCCACAGACCTAGAACCCTGTTTAATTCTCATTAATGCTCTCGCGGCATTCTTTGACCTTTTCATTGTGTCAAAAGTTCTACGAAAAGCCGTAAGAAAACTGTTGAAATCATGTACCATAGGTCCATTAGCTTCCCAAATAGGATTTGCCCACTCAAGTGCCTTATCGGTAAGTTGGTGCATAAAGAACCCAACCTTAGACCTCTCTGTGGGAAATGAACGTGGATACATTTCGAAGTGGAATTCAATTTGATTAATAAACCCTCTGCAAGTCTTAGAGTCCCCTCCATACCTAGGAGGAGGTGTTAAATGGGCCGAAGTATTAGGCAAAGTAGATACTTCAGGGAGAAGGGGCGTAGGAGGGTTAGGTGTGGTTGCTGGAACGGTTCTAGCTAGGAGCGTCTGGAGAGCCTGAGCTATCTGATCCATACGGTGATCCTGCTCTACAAATCTTGCCTCATGGGACGCCATCTGTTGAGCTAAATCTGCGGGGTCCATGGCCCTATCGTAATGTAACGAGAATATACCCCTACACGCAGGATCCAGCTAAACAGAGGCAAATACAGAGGAGAGATACGTCTACCGGACCTTAGAATGGCCGGACTCGACGTATATGAGAGGAGACAGAGCCAGGAACAAACCGAGGTCAAGGGCACAGAGAGACAGCGTAAACTAGGACAAGCCGGGGTCTGGTACACGGAAAACAGCAAGCCGGCAAACAGTACAGATAAGGATAAAGCGAAAACGAAGTCAGAATACGAAGCCAAAGTCAATACGAGAAAACACAACTGAACACCACAAGCGCTAAAGGGAACTGAAACAGAAACCACGATAGGGCAACGAGCTAAGGGAAAAAGGTAAGTTTAAATAGCTTTTAAACGAAAGTGATTGGCTCCTGTCACTTCCACACCCCCATAGGTAATTGTATAGGGAGTGTGGTATGACAGGAGCCAATGGGAGCCTTTTGGCAATTAGGCTCCCACTGTCTCTTTAAGAGCGCGCCCGAGACTCGCGGCGCGCTCTTAGTTTCAGGCGGGACACGTGACCGCTTCACGCGGTCACTGCCCGCCTTCCATCCAAAGCAGTCGGATGAGCCGCGCGCGGCTCGTGCAGCCGCAGGACCGCGCGCGGCTTGAAGAGAGGACCGCGACCGGCCCCCGGTTAAGGTAAGTAACGCTACAGGTTCAACTGTGGGAGGTGTGGTTTGGGTATTAATGCCTTAGCTGCGTCTAAGAGATGTTGGAGGATAGACCTTTTGTATTTTGAGATTGGGTCTTGTGTATAGTGGAGAAGTATGTTTTCCATTGCTAGTTGCTTTGTGTCTCCTAGGACGTCTTTGATGCGAGAGTTGATTTGATTCCAGAACGGTTGGATTTTGGCACATTCCCACCAAATGTGTTTCACAGTTCTGACATCTGTCTCACATCTCCAACAGGTCGCTGGGGTGTTGGGGAATATTTTGTGGAGGAGGTCTGAGTTCTGTACCAGAATGTCAGCAGTTTATAGTTAATTTCCTGGTAATACGAGCTTATTGAGGATTTGTGGTGGAGGACCAGAATTTTTTCCCATTGTGCGTTTGTGAATGTTTTGTCTGTAATTCGTTCAAATTTTCATTTGTAGGCAAGGGTTGCCATTTGGGTGTCTGCTATCAAGTATTGGTAAAGGGTCAATGTTGGTTTCAGAATGGTCGTTTTTTTTGTCACATTTCTCTTCGAACCACGTGAGGGTTCTGTGCACTGCGGCTCTGTTCGGCAATGAGTGGTAGAAGTATGTCAATTGTGAATATCTATACCTTTGCATGGTCATTGGTGTGTCCTCCGCAAGTTGTTCTAGAGGTGTCAGTCCGGTGGAGTTTAGTGCTTTGTGGAGTGAGATGAGGTCCTCTCCTCTCAGGAAGTCCCATGCCTTGGGTGGTAGTCCTCCCCCTAGGGTTATCCGTCAAAGTGATCATCGGGCTAGGCGTGGGGGATATGGCAGCTGTGTTCCTCATTGTGGACCATGGCTGAAGGGTTTGGTGCGCAGGGGAGAGTTTGTTATGGTCACCAGGTGTTGTTGTTCTCATATTCCATAGGGAGGTAAAGATGGAGGAGCCACATGAGTCCCTGTTCAGGGCTACCCATTGTTTGTGTCGTGGGTTAGTGTGCCATTCTAGTATCCTCTGTAGGGCTGTTGCGCGATGGTACTTCCGCAAGTCAGGGATCGCTAGTCTGCCGTTACCTCTGGTCTGGCAGAGGAGTTCATATCTCAGACGCGGTCTACACCCCCACCATATATAGTTCAGGAATGCTGTCTTCAGGGAGGTGAAGAAAGCCATCGGTAGCGGTAGTGGAATAGTGTGAAACAGGTATAGTAGTCTGGGCAGTATATTCATTTTGATCACCGCTATGCGGCCTAACCAGGAGATGTGTAGATAGTTCCAGTTCCGTAAGTCTTGCTGAATTCGGGTGAGGAGTGGGATGAAGTTTGTCTGATATAGGGTATTTGCGTCTGTTGTCATCCATATCCCCAGGTACCTCATTTGGGTCTGACACCAGCGGAAGGGAAAGGCAGACGCTAATGCTCTGTGTTCTCTCGTCGGGTCGTTTAGATTGAGGAGTTCACAAGTTTGAGGCCTGATTGGTACCCATATTCTTCGAGCTCTTTCATTAAGCATGGCAGGGTGAGTCGTGGTTGTGTGATGAAAAATAACATATTGTCTGCGTATGCGGCAACCTTGTGCATGGTGTTTTTCCATTTGTATCCCGTGATGTTGATATTCCGTCTGATCGCTTCTAATAGGAGTTCCAGCGTGAGATCGAACAACAGTGGGGACAAGGGACATCCCTGCCTCGTGCCATTCCGAATCGGGAAGGATTCTGTCAGGGCTCCGTTGACTCGTATGGTTGCAGTCGGGTTGCTGTAGATTGCTCCGATCCATTTTGATAGAGTTTCGGGGAACCCCAAGTGGCGTAGCACCGTTTTCAGGAACACACAATCTACCCGGTCGAATGCCATTTCGGCGTCCGTAGATAGCAGGAGGAGTGGCGATCCGCTTTGTCTCGCTAGGTGTTGTATGGCAAGGACCCTCAAGGTGCTATCCTGAGCCTCTCTTTCTTGTATGAATCCCGTTTGATCCTGGTGTACCAGTGTCGGCATCAGCGTAGTCTAGTAGCCAGTATTTTGGTGAAAAGTTTTGTGTAGATATTTAAGAGAGATAGATCTGTAGCTGCTGCAGATCTCTGGGTCTTTACCTGGTTTTGGTAGTACTGCAATCGTGGCGGATAGCGACTCGGCATGGAATTCGCTTCCTGTGGTGATTGCGTTCAGGGCTTTCATGAGTTTGGGGACTAGGATGTCGTTAAACCTTTTGTAGTATTCTAGGGTCAGCCCGTCTGGACCCGGGGCACGGTCAGTTTTGGTCATTTTAACAGCCGCTCGTATTTCATCTTCAGTGATCGGTAGGTCAAGCATTTCCGCTTCGTCGGTCGTCACGGTCCTATGGAGAAATTCTCATAAGAAGCATTCCGTGTGCTCGCGTTTGTTGCGCCTGTGTTCGTCGTCACCTTGTCGGTGTGTGTTGTACAGAGTCGAGTAGTAATTGAGAAATTCTGTAGCTATTTTCTCCGGGTGTTGAGTCGTTGTACCTCCTTGCAGTTTTAACGTCTGGACTTGTGCGGGTAGTTGTTGTCCTCTGAGCATTTGTGCGAGTAGTTTGCCGCCCTTGTTTGCGTGTAGGTAGAAGAATCCCTTGGATCTGCGGAGGTATCTCAGATGTCTTTTGAGTAGTAGGGTGTGTAGCTGCCTCCTGGGTTCCAGGAGTTCTTTGTGCGTGTCTTCCACATGGCTGTGTTTATGTTGTGTTTCCAATGTGTTAATCAGGTCAATGGTCTCGGACATGAGTCCGCCAGCCTCTTTTCTGTTGAGATGCAAGTTGGATGAGGCAGCCTCAGATCACACTTTTATGGGCTTCCCATACTGTCATGTCCGATACATCGTCCGTTTCATTTTCACTGAAGTAGGTTGTTAGTGCTTGGGTGATTTGGTCTCTTAGATCAGTCAGTAGGGTGTCGTTGAGTCTCCAGGTCTTCTTAATTGGCCGGGTGAAGAGGGAGTCGATGTCTATTGAGACCTGACCATAGTCCGACCATGTCGCTGCGGTAATGGACGCCTTCTGAAGTCTTGTCAGTCTCCTGTTGAAACATTAGAAAGTCTATCCTAGAGTACCTTTTGTGCATTAGTGAATAGTGGGTATATTCTTTGTCTAGTGGGTGTAAGGTTCTCCAGCAGTCTATCAATCGTAGGGTCCTTAATGATTGATGTATGTTCTTGATTTCCCTTTGCGGGATACTACTGTGTCCCGTGGATGAGCCCATTTTAGGGTCTAGTGGTGCATTGAAGTCTCCTCCAATTATCAGCGTGCCCTCCGTAAAGTCCGCTAATTTCTTTAGTGTGCATTTGAAGAACCGAGCCTGATTGCGATTTGGTGCGTATATCGTGGCTATTGTGTATCTGCGGTCCGATATCTCCCCCTTGATGAAGGCATATCTGCCTCTCTCGTCTATCTCTTTATCCAGTTCCCTGAATTGTACTCTGGTGGCTATCATAATTGCAACCCCTGCTTTCTTAGCTGCGGGGTGATTGCTGAAATAGTTGGTGGGGTAGTGCTTGTTGCGCAGCGGCGGAGCCAATCCCTTCTGGAAGTGAGTTTCTTGTAGAAGAGCGATAGCTGCTCTGTCCCTCTGCAGTTCCCTGAGGAGGTGGGTTCTGCGTTCGGCTAGGTTCAGGCCCCGGCAATTTTGCGTGATGATTTTAATCGAGTCCAGGCGGTATGCCATCTTGATGTGGTTTGCCTCCTCCTGGGTTATCCTCGTGACCGCCCAACCGCATCCCCACTCTCTGTGAGGGTGGGAGGCGGTCAGAGAAGCCCGACGTCCCAGGTAGGGTTATTTCCCCCCTGGTCGCTCGCTGGATTGCTCCGAGTAGGCTTAGCGGTCCCACGAAACCGGGAAGCGGGGTCATGAGGGAGTCTGGAGGTGCAGGAAGAGGGGAGGGAGGGATGCAAATTGAGTAGTGTTTATGTAGGTATGCGGGTGTCCGCTGTCTCGAGGTGGGAGGACTGTCTCTAAGTGTTCGAGAGGTATAATAAAACTCTGAACTGTGTAGGTAGGTGTATCCGAGTGGGGTTGCCAAGTCCGTCCACTGTAATACAACTGACAGAGGCATTCATCCCTCTTATTTAACTTCTGCATCTAAGTCATGGAGGGATATCCCGTATGAGCTTACAATTGATAGGTCCCACCCCCGCCCTGTTTAGTACTCTCCCTTTTTTCCCCCTCTTCCTCCCCCCGTTCCTTGGCATTTAAGGGCGGTGTCTGCAGCCATCTGCACTCTTTGTTCCAGGTTTGAGATGCGGGTCTCCTGTGCTTTAACATCGGCCTTCAGGCTTGCTACCTCCGTTTTGATTGCCTCGTGCAGCGTGGAGGATAGGTAGTTCAGGTTATCTTTAGTGACCATAGACATTGCCATGTGCTTGAGTTCAGCTCCAATGTCTGCCAGTGTGGTGCTGTTGGCGCTGGAGCATCTGGAGGCTGGCGACATTGGCGCCATTTTGGATGTCGGGGACCCGCGATTAGGCCCAGAAAGAGCAGGAAAGCCAAGTAAAAAATACTTAAATACATAAAAGTCAAATAAAATAAAACAAATACTCTGTACACTAGAAAAGCCCTACGCGTTTCGTTCAAATGAGAACTTCCTCAGGGGAATCTAACAGGAGTCTATCCCTATGCAGGCTTTTCTAGTGAACAGAGTATTTGTTTTATTTTATTTTACTTTTATGTATTTAAGTATTTTCTTACTTGGCTTTCCTGCTCTTTCGGATCTTGTGATCAGGATGTATTTCCAGCTGAGTTTGATGTGCCTGTTTGATACTTCTGTTCTGTAAGTGTATCTTGTAATAAATTGTGTCACTTTATTAAGATACTCTGCACTATTATTTCTTTTTCTTCTTCCTATGCATGCTATTGATGTTCCACAAATCCTGAAGTTAACACATCGTTATTTATGATATGCCTTCAATCAAATTGGATTTGTGAGTGTGATTATTTATATTTATAACTCACATTGTTCATCCTTAATATATACACGCTGATGAGTTGTATTAACAACGAAACAGCTGTCCATGAGTGGTTCACTGGTTTTGCATCTTTTCCTAAATTGTGTTCCAAGCTGTTGTATACAGCAAACACAGACTAAAAGGAATCCATGTTTAAAATGAAATGAGGCAAAAATGTGATTCTTTGTTAAGCTAATTTCATATGCCCACCCAGAATCCTTTGCGGTAGTAACATCACTGCAGATTTGTGATTTCTGTGGAAAAGGCAAGTCTTATAGCTTGCCTGGTGTGCAGATTTTTGTTTAACATTGTATTTCTGTATGGATACTATACCTATCAGGCTCTTCTATTAATAGGTCTATGTATACAACTATTTGTGGTTTTGGTTTAAATGAAATGTTATCCCTTTTTGAATATTATTAAGAGGATTGAGATGCGTTCTAGTGTGGAATGTGGACCATCCAGGGTTCAATTATATGATACAGGGGATGAACTGCAGCATTGTAGTACATATGTTCCACTTTGAAATACGCTCACAAGTTACTTGGCAGCTTCCGGTCAGAGGAAATGGATTTGTGTTCCACAACGGAATGCGCGTAGTAAAGATCGCCCAAGAGCACCTGTAAAAGACTGTGAACGCCGAATACATTAAAAAACAACTAAAAAGAGGGTCTACTCCTTGGAAAAAAAGAAAAGTTGCATTTCTTTGGGTTGTGTCTCAATAAACAGCATTTATAATGTGGTTGTAACTATTTAGCTGGAAATGATTTTTTGTTATTGTCAGAAAGTAAATACCGTGTTTCCCCGAAAATAAACCCTACCCCGAAAATAAGCCCTAGTCGGATTTTTGGGGTGGGCTGCAATATAAGCCCTACCCCGAAAATAAGACCTAGGCATTGTACCTTTGCGGCGAGACTTCCTTCTACTGTAGGAGGAGCGTTGCGGGCCGCGGCATCGCGCAACGTGATGACGACATTTCGCAGCGCCGTCAGTCTGCCTTCACGGATCTTCAGCGGAAGGATCCATTTCCGGGCGGTGAGGCTCCCAGTGGTCGGACTCGGCAAGGAATCTTTGAAATGTGAGTACCGCTAGATATTTTATGTCTGGGACTGAATTAATTAAAGGGGGTGGGGGGTGAATTAATTAAAGGGGGGGTGAATTAAAGGGTGGGCTGGATTAATTAGAGGGGGGTGAATTAATTAAAGGGGGGTGAATTAATTAAGGGGGGGAATTAATTAAAGGGTGGGCTGGATTAATTAGAGGGGGTGAATTAATTAAAGGGTGGACTGGATTAATTAGAGGGGGTGAATTAATTAAAGGGGTGGTGAATTAATTAAAGGGTGGGCTGGATTAATTAGAGGGGGGTGAATTAATTAAAGGGTGGGCTGGATTAATTAGAGGGGGTGAATTAATTAAAGGGGTGGTGAATTAATTAAAGGGTGGGCTGGATTAATTAGAGGGGGTGAATTAATTAAAGGGGTGGTGAATTAATTAAAGGGTGGGCTGGATTAATTAGAGGGGGGTGAATTAATTAAAGGGGTGGTGAATTAAAGGGTGGGCTGGATTAATTAGAGGGGGGTGAATTAATTAAAGGGGGGTGAATTAATTAAAGGGTGGACTGGATTAATTAGAGGGGGTGAATTAAAGGGGGGCTGGATTAATTAGAGGGGGTGGATTAATTAGAGGGGGTGGATTTATTAAAGGGGGGTGGATTAATTAAAGGGGGGGTTCAATGTACATACCGGTACCGTAAATAAATAAGCCCTACCCTGAAAATAAGCCCTAGTGTGTTTTTTGTGACTAAAATTAATATAAGACCTGGTCTTATTTTCGGAGAAACACGGTACTTGCACAAGCATAAATATTTAATTTATATTACCGTCAGATATTAGAGAGCGGATAATCATACCTGTGCATTTGTATCATCACTTTTCCTCTCTTGGTTTTCATGATCTAATTTGGAGAGAGGCTGCATTTCTGGTGACAGTGTGGCTACAAAGAAAAAAGTTTCTCATTATTATATATTTTTTCCATACCAACTGCAAACTATTGGTGACAATAAGTGACTAAAATAGAACAGTGAAACCCTATTATAACTGGACCCATAAAGATACACATCTAACAGTAGTACAGCACCAATACTATGTGAGCAAAAATTTCAAGATACTTACAACCTACACAAGCATATCCCCTGTCTTAATGAACAAGATGTACTAGTTGTAACAAGGTGAATGCATGTTGAGAGCTTTCCAATGGTTACAACAAACCTTTGATGTCAATGCTTTAGAGCTCTCACTCAGGATTCCAAAATGTGGGATCTCTTTTGTGTTTAGACATGGCTCTAATTATTCTCATATATGACTTCCCTCCTGTCACGATACCTGCCCCTTGCAATCATGGACACGACGAACTTCCGGTTTACGGAGACAGTCGCATGTCGGAGTAGCTCCGTTACCGCCATGGCCACAAAGCGACTAAATTAAGCCGATTGCTGTTCCTGGACTACTGTACCTCAGCATTAGGTATGGGGGATCTCACCCATAGCAGCATGGCGCCTCCAAAAGCCCAGCGCGCCCCGGATTTCTTATGGCAAGGGAAGAAAGAAAGGCTGAGATCTAAAAAAGATGGCGGCAGCACCCCCTCTCCAGCACAAGTGTCGGAAGCTGGATCCGACACAGTGCAGGCACCTACAGAGGAACTGTCCATCTCAGAAACGAAGTTGGCAGCTATGCTGCAGGGGCTGCGTTCATCCATGAAGGCAGACCTCCAGACTGCTGTGGAAACTATATGGAAGGAGGTACGTAATATTGGTGCACGCATGGGTGCCCTTGAGGAACGCACTGATTAAATATGCCTGGCCAACAACGAGGTAGTGGACAAGATCCACAAAATGGAAGCTGACCATAAGCGCCTTGTGGAGAAGCTGGCAGACTTGGGAGGATCGATCTCGGCGCAATAACATCCGCAGCCGCGGAGTTCCGGAGTCGGTGACTACGGAGGAACTGCCTACTTAAAGGGGCTATTTCAAGCCCTAGCACCAGATCTGGGACAAGATGATTTGCGCATTGACAGAGCCCATCGTGTGCCCAAGCCCAAAAACCTGGCACAAGACATCCAAAGGGACATTGTCACCAGGCTGCATTATTATAGCTCCAAAGAAGCTGTGCAAAGAAAGACGGAGACGATACCAGCTACATAAAACAAGGTGTCCCTTTTTGCTGACATAATAACTGACAGGTAGCTGTTTTGCCTAGGCACGCCACATCCCTCCCCTAATGCCTATACACCTCTCAAGCCTGGAAATTTGGTGTGTTGGACACCCGGGCCACCTAAGACCTCTCCCACCCCATCCACATTCCTCTTTAACCCCTTCAATTTGTTTGCCTTTCACTAGCTAACGATGAGATGACTTCCTTGGATAGATGTACACCCATGTTCTGAGTGGTTGATGTTGACTGGCCGGTCTCTGCATGATGCTGAAATGCTCTTTGTTCTGTATATACTTTTGTTATGATTTCGTTTTTATGTTGTACTGTTTTGATGTAATTCATTCATGAGATGCTCTATACTAACTGTGACTATGGGAATAGGGGTTATTGGGGTACTACCCCCCAACAAATCAGGAAGTATGGAGCCGGGAAGGGTTTAGATGCTTGTGTACGACACAAGATCTCCCAGGCCTTAGCAGATGGCTCTCTCCAACTGCCTTAATGTCCTATCCCTAAATGCCCATGGTCTCAACACACCGCAGAAACGCAGGCTTGCTTTCCAGCAGTTACACGTGTCAAAAAGCATCCATTGCTTGTATACAGGAGACTCACTTCTCCAGCGCAAACCCCCCAAAATTCTCTTCCTCCCTGGCATACCACACTCTAGCTCCCAATAAGACTAGGAGTGTGAGCACCTTATTCCACTATGACAGGGCTTTTCAATGTGACAGGGAGTATAAGAGTGTAGACGGTAGTCTTCTCATTTTGGCCAGACTACTCAATGACATCCCGGTGACTATAGCCAACTTGTATGCACCCAATACTAACCAATATGATTTTCTTAGGAAGGTTAGGAATAAATTAGACAAAATTAAACAGGGACAGACAACATATTTTTGGGACTTCAATTGTGTGTTAGATCGGGCAAGGTAGGGTCGCACACACACTCCGCTAGCCACAAAACTGACGGCTCTGTTGCAGACCCATGGCTTACATGATACCTGGAGATCTTTATATCCTGCCACCGGGGACTACACATTCTATTCGGGGGTTCACAACCAGTACTCGCGCATAGACATATGTCTTACGGATATTAAAACGCTTGAAACAATGAAGGAGGTCAAGATCTCCCTATTAACCTGGTCTGACCATGCACCGCTTCTTTCCAGTTTCACCTCACTCCACCCAGCTAGGAGACAAGGTGTGAATCGTTTAAATGAATTGCTCCTCGGCCTTAAAAACACAGGCGGCAGAGCTGAGGAAAACTATTGTAGACTTTTTTGTGGACAATCTCTATGCTGACGTAGATATACCCACAACCTGGCTTGCCCATAAGACAGTTGTCCGGGGGTTACTGATTAAAATGGGGGCCCAACTTACACGGAGGGTGTCTGCTAAAAGTGAAAAGCTCCTTAAGGAGTTGGGGAAGGCAGAAGAACAGCATAAGGTGTCTCATACGGACATCAACCGAACGATCTTACGCAGCAAACTTAGGACTGAGATAGAGACTCACCAGCTACAGCAGGTAGAAAGGGCACTCCGTAAAATGAGA